ATCGTACGATGTAAACAAAATCGTATGTCTATGCATACCCCCGCCTGAGCTGATTCTGTTGTCCTATTACTTTTGTTTACCTTGTTCACTGACCTTGACATAAATGAAGGTTAGTTGTCTTAAATATAATTTAATGATCAAATATCAGTCATAAATCTACGTACTGGCGAATGAAATTATGCTATGAATTAATCTTCGAACCATGATATGGCAAGCGAAAAAATGAAACGGTATGAGGTGAAAGATTTTGAAAAGTTAGTCAATAAGTCATAAATTCTCTCACTTAAAACTGAAAATTGTCGTGATACCTTATAATCTTATATGGTAGATCTTAAAAACATCACTGAGATTAAGTGATACCAGGTTTGGGCATATTGTGCGGTAAATGTATTAGGTACAAGTCCCAGGGGAAGTTGAATTAGATTGGGAAAAGGTTCACAGTGGCCAGACCAAGACGTGGCACCAGTCAATGAAGTCCCTGACTGTAGGTCGGATTTGTCTACGTAGAGGTGGGATACTTGTCCTCGACACAATAGGAATCAGTGGTTGAGGATTCTTGGTGACACTGCTGACCTAGATTTCCATTTCGCACTATATAATTAGATCATCAGGTGGCCTGCTTAAAATTTGGGCTACCGAAAACTTACCATGAAATACATTTCATCAGATTCCTCTGTATCAGTCTGTTTAAATGTTTTCAATGAGTCTTTTAAGTGAGTCATCTACTCTTTTACACTCTTAATATGGTTTCAAACCCCCTTTTTACAACCAAGCTACAAAATAACGGAAAAACAGTACACCGGTAAGAGATGGGCTTAGAAGTTCACAGAAATACAGCACAGTAATATTCTCATGATAACTTAGTCGAATTGCAGGTTTTGGTACTGACTAGATCAACTGCCTCCACTACTAAAATTACACTCGATTTTCTACTCATTTACCATTCCAAACCAGACGCTAATATAACATCAGGTACCTGTTTCACATTGCGGCCTTTATCACTGTTATATTAACACTATTAAAATGCAGTGATTATTTCTCTTAAAGATATTGTACACGGAATGAATATGTTGAAGTATTACATGCTGAGAATTCCATACTGTACCACACTTCTTGTCCGGAATAAAACTATTATTATTATTATTATTATTATTATTATTATTATTATTATTATTATTATTATTATTATTATACTATGCTTCCAGAGGCTATATCCTAAACTGTCTAATGAGAACCAGATAAGTTTATTTCCTACTTTCACGTACTGCAAACTGACAGTTGTCGGTGTCAGTCTAGATTTTTACATTTCATATCAGCATGAATAGATTGGAGTCAACAATACAATGTTAAACAAATAATGGTAATCATACCCGTCTTCTTAAAGCACCATATGGGGATTAGATAAGTAGATAAACAGAATAAACCTTATATGATGCAGCAATTTACGTGAAGATAAGACGTGAATGCATCGGCACTATTGCAAACGGCAGTGATCCATATTACCTACACACCCCAACGATCAGTCTGAGTTGTCTGATGGAAGTTAACCAGAAGGACTGCATTTTTACGTGGATGGTTCCCATCGACAGTTAGTGACTTCACGGATCGATATCATGTCTTAACCTTGTTGCCATTTAAGTTGACATCAAAATTTAGTGATATCCATTTTAAATTACACAATTACTCAGTAGCATTTGTTTTATAGGCCACAAAAATTTAAAAATCAGCATACAGTTCCATTACAATGTATACAACAAATTTCTTCTGGGATAGAAGCAGTAATGTTGGAACTTTTCTATGATGAACATCCTAATACTACGTTATCTGTCGAATCAACATGCACAAGACGATACTTTCCACCTTCAGATACTTAGATCCCCTGAATTTAAAGTCAGTAGTGAACACTACTGCATTGTTCATCTAAACATGAAACTGTTGTCTGGTTGTTTCTCACTTATATTGGCTCGCCAGATGATATCAGACATATATATATATACATATATATATATATATATATATATATATATATATATATATAACGTCCGTATTTAAAACACTCGCTATTAGACAGACAATTCATCACTCCTGACATAAGTTTTTAGTTCAAATTCGCTCATTTAACTTATTCAGGTACTTAGTGGTAGATACCGTTTGTTTACACTGTAAAATAAGCAAATCTAACCTAGTTCAAAACTGAACTTTGACTTTATGAATTTATTTCTACAACGGAAATATAGCATTATTCTTTATTCATTTTAATGTGAACAAACGGGTGCGTTTGTGTGTGTGTGTGTGTGTGTATGAGCGTGACTTTGTTATATACTGCCCTTTTGTGTACACATTCTCTAATTAATGTAATGGGCCTGATTGTACAACAATTAATGGTTACATATTTGGCCAAGCATAATGCATCAGCAAATAAAAACACGCCACATGTATCAGGTAGTTAACACAGTTGTCATACATCATCACTAAGATTATCCAACTTAGTATTAAACGCAAATATAAATTCGAATAAGGGTCTCTGTGGATTTATTGATTTCAAGAGTCCTCTTTATGGACTGACATCCCTTGGAAAACGACTAAAAACCTGGAAGTATTGAGTAGCTGTTTTATCTTACTGTGAAACTTCTCAGCAGTCCATGCTTACCACCCCAGAGTCAACCCCAGGACCATCACGTCTCATACTGAGCACATTATCACTCAACCAGTGTATTTTATGGGACCCGGTAGTTCTCGAATTTCTACTGCTGTGAATTCGCAATACAGTGTGGCCATCATGGAATGCCATTCGTAGGCATCTGCCTCATTCTTAATTCGGTTAATATGACGGGTCACGAATCTTCACCACATCCTCAAGAAATTCATCTCAGAGCGCTGTAAAAGAGTCTCAAATTAGGACGAAACAACTATCCAGTGTTCTCATTTTTTCTCCAACTGATGTCAGTCCATTTTGAAAACTGTCGATAAATATAGATCGGTAATAAGACCATGTATGTTTTACATCCCAATCTCAATATAAGAGCATAATAGATTTGAAGGGAAACGCGGGTGGTGGGAAGATGGGAAGCAAGTCTCTAAGGTTAATGACTTGCCGCTTTTCTGATAAAACTGTAACACACTGTTGCTGACAAGATATGAAACTTCAGTGACTGCAAGCTTTAGTCTGCTATCACGTGTATGAGTTATAAGTAGTCTTTCGTTCAGCGTTATTTTTCTACTTACACAGTATAGTCTTTTTGAGCCGAACTCGAAGAGAAGAATCACCGAAGAGCTATTGATTAGCCCATCAAAGATAGTTATAATCTAGCACACTGAGCTTATTGAAAGAAGGTCAGTTATGAAGTCAGAAGAAAGCCTGACTAACAGTAAGGTTTGGACAGACGGCATTCGGGTTGCCAGTGACTAAAGGGATGTTGAAATTAGGTCAGCAACCTGAATTCTTAAGAGGTCTGGAAAGTAACTCAAAGAACACTGCTTTGAGTCCTGTTACTACCCATATTTTCCCCAAAGAATATTAATCGTTCATCTCAGCAGTCTGTGAAGTAAGCGACTGATTCCAAGGCAGTTTTCCTGTGCAACTGAAACCCGATAAGAAATTCATAAAAGTTGGACACATGTTTCGTTCTAGTCTGAAACTTCTTAGCTACTTGAGGTGTTCAGTCGGAATATTCAAGTCTTGGTTAGTTCAAATTTATCAACACACAATGTAGTATCACTCATAGAAATGTGTCTCCATTCACAACTCGGTTGGCCAATTTTTCAGTGAAGTGATGCAAGTAGATACATTCCACATTACGAAACAGTAAACATAATAAATAGGGCTGAGCACTGTGTAGAATAGCAGGTGGTCATTGCCAAGAAATACCATACTAAGACAAATCAGCCACCCAGTACAACCGCGTTTTCAATCGTTCTTCAGATGATCTCAGTTCGTGAACAGAACTAGGAAATACTAATCTCAGGTTGGTGGAATGGGTCTATTTAAACGTTAAACACTTATGGATGATTTGAACTTTTATATAGCCGTCTAAACCAATCACCAGTATTTCCAAACTAGATAGAGACAAGCAAGCTCATAAGATGTGTACTCAGACTAGTTCAAATAATCTCATTTCAATCTAGCTAACTAACAGAACTATGGAATTTTACATGTATCATCTAAACGCATCATTCTCACCTCGGAATACATCTGACTGTACCCTACACTTTAAGAACACTTTCATGAAGAAATAAAAGTAATGGATATTTATTCTTCTGCATCCAGTGTGCTACAGTATGCACCCAAGGTAAGCCTTGATGGTTGAATTAAGGATAACCAGGTCTATATACATAAACCTTAGTGGTTTAGCCACTGAACGCGATTTTTTCAGCCAATCTTTTGCAGCTTCCATACACTGTTAGTGATAACTGATCTGCTAACCATCATTCAACATCACAGTGAATAGTCATGATTTCTGAATACCTTCAAGCGGTCGGAAATACCAGTCACACATGGCTTCGAATATTCAATTTTATCATCTCAGTAACTGGAATGCTTGAAATGATTTCATTTTAGGTGAGTTAAGTTTTTTGGGTTGATTTTTTAAAGCATTCATGAATGTATACTACTGAGGAGACAAGGAATACATCTAGTAACTTGTCTTCCAGTGGTAGTTCAACTGATGTTGATCGACCATAAGAACGACTTTAAAGAAACTGAGTTTCATCCCACAGTGTTAAAAACTGACTAAAAGTTCTACAATGGCATCCTCACACGGTCTCTAGTTCAATTCATCCTTCAATCATCAAATGATTTTAGCTAGTAAACAGATTGTCCTCATCAAATGATCATGTTTAAGGCAAACACTTTAATAGGAAAACTGATTTAATAATTGTCTACAGACAACTTTGACTTCCATGAACAAACTCCTAACTTTAACTTCACCTTATGGTTTATTTTCAAGAATTTATACAAAAATTGATTTGCAAATGAACGGTTCAACTCATTCTTAACTTACGATCATGAAATTTGTAATTCTTTTCTGGACATGGAGCAGAAAACTTCAAATCCTCCAGTAAAATACCATTATTGGACATTACTGAATAAATGAATTTTTAAAAGAAAGCGGAAAAATAAAAGGAATGACAATAAAGGATATATTTTTGGAAATTTTAAAATGAGTGATTTCCTCACGCAAAAAGTGACTTAGGACATCTATGTCGGAGGATTATGAGTACTGGTCATTGTACACCTTAATGTATATTTACTATTTATTGATATACTTGTAATTCTCCGTTGTTTTACTGGATCGAATTGTTCGACCTCTATTGACATATGAGCTCCTATGTGGACGCCTCGATATTGCTTGAATGTTAATTATGGTAATTCGGTTGGTTATGGCCATCAGAGAGATCCAGGATGCGCGTTTCGTCCTATTTGGGACTCGTTAGCTTTATGTACCTGCACCTCAGTGCGGAGTGACGTTGTCCCCACTGAGACTCGAACCCCCTATACCCATCGCTTCAAACGCCAAGGGGTTATCCGCCATGCTACGGAGGAACGATAGCCACTTCTTGTACAACGGATAGTAGTTATTACTAATCATTGGATTCCTTTGCTGGCCACAACCAACCAAATTGCCATAATTAACATTCGGGCGATATCGAGGCGTTCGCATAGGAGCCCATATGCCTATAAAGGTAGAACAGTTCGGTCGAATTAAACAAGGAGAATTACCAGTACATCAATAAATAGTAATAACTACTATCCGTTGTACAAGAAGTGGCTGTCGTTCCTCCGTAGCATAGTGGATAAAGCCTTAGAGTTTGAAGCAATGGATACGACATTCGAGTCTCAATGGGGACAACACTCCGCACTGAGGTGCAGGTACATACAGCTGGCGAGCCCTAAATAGGACGAAATGAGCATCCTGGATTCCCCCGTTAGCCGTAACCAACCAAATTACCATAGTGTATATTTGTTCTGATAAAAGCATTACTCGACATCATACAAATAAGATACCAAGCCAACATTACTTTTCAGATAAAAATTAAAGAAACCTCGCGTAGTACAACACAAGATTATTTACTCTGAAGATTAACTATCGAAAATAGTTTAGTTGAAAAAGGCCTAAATAAATATCTGAGAAGCACTGGTGCTATGAAATGAAACCGCCATGTTGGTGGTGCAAAGATTAGAAACACAGTCCCGAATGAAGCTAAGTCGAATTAGAACATGACATCAATGTCATGAAGCCATAAACTGTCGCCCCGAACCCTTTTACCAAGCTATAGGTTATCTGGCTGAGATTCTCAAGATGTTAGGAGTCGATGGCTGGATACTCTGAATAACACAGAGAATCATAGACTAAAGCAATGCAAACGTATTCACTCTTTCCGTTTAACTCTTCTTTTTGATGTTTTCTCGTCTAGGCTGTTTTTTGACTGTGGTAAGTTAGTCTATTGAAATTCAAATTGAAGTTCTACTCCGTTTTATATCTGTGTATATCTACACTTATGTTTTCACTCAGGTTGAGACATCTTTCTTCAGAATAGACTTGGAAATGCAATTATTGAATATAACCTTGGTCAACTGATACTTAGAATATTATGAAATATTTATTGATCCTTCTCTTTAGTTCGAATTCTATATTTCAGCATAGTCATTTGTTCTAATATCCTGAATGTCTAACCTGATGAATTAGATAGGTGAAAAACTGATATTATTTAAACCTTAATTGTACATAGAAAGTCTTCGATAGCCTACGACCAAGCGCAATTCAGCTGTCAGTTGTGTCCTGTCAATATCGTAATCTAGTTACATCGCACCATTGATGTATATCTCTATGCCACACGATGATACTTACTTCTTCAAGTCAATGAAACTGATACAGTAACACTGTTCTACTCTGTGATATAGATCATTATCGGAAAATTGGCTGTAAACATTTTTAGGTAGCCAGAATAACTATTATTAGGTTTACCAATCGATTACTAGATGATATTATAGTTATTTGCTAGAACATTTCTTGGCTTACTAGACACTTACACTTAACGTGAGTACTATATGGGTCCCCAGTAGATTCTCATCAAAAAATCTCTATCTCACCAATTTGAAATGTGTATTCTACCTCCAGTATTTTATTGACTAAAGCATCTATTATTGTCATTATTGAGTGATAGATTCTGTGCCTTTGTTGGCGATAATATCGAAATTGCTTGCAAGTTATATAATCTCAGAATGAAATTAAACTCAAAGCCAACACAAATACAAAAAATAAAGCGATGGATGACCAAAGTTTCTGATTAGCTAGTAATATTTATAATAAAGATCTTGTGAGGGCCTTCTTTAAGGTTCCGTTATATCAAAGTGTTACCACAACATTCCGATAGTTCATACTCGTCACATCAATCGGTTTACTGAAGTTTTCAGATGCATAATTTACTTTCAATAGGTAGATACTAACATATCATTTAGCCTATGAACCACAAAAAGCATTTTAGCTGGACACTTTCAAGACTCAAGTGGCTAACTTCAACTAGTCAGTTAAGATTGCTATCGACTTATGGAATATCATCACCCTGTGAGTCATCCAAGAAAGCTAAACAAATTAAGAGTATGATCAAATCAGTAGACGTGTTTCTTGAATGAATGGTCATGATCTTCAGTTGAATGTTGCGTTAATCATCTTTTGTGAGTTGTGAACCCTCATCTCAATCCATTATATTGGTGAGTGTGCTTACAATAATCGCAATAATATCATACGACATGAATATGATCATCAGTTTCGACTATCTAAGATGGCTATGGTTTACCAGATTTGTAGTGATATTGGGTGATGATTGAAGAGGAAATTAAAATCTGGGCCGTGCAGGATTTGAACCAGCCACCTCTGTGTTGCCTTCAGTCATCATCCAGAATGGATATGATCATAATATGTATATCTAACTCTCACGATAATAATCACAAAATATCAATAATAAACACGCGGTTAACATTAAACAAATTTACTTACTGTATCCTTTTGCCTGAGTGGTTAAAATTACGAACACAAAAAATGAGATCAGCTGCGTTAACGCCAAAACGAGACGTCCTTCTTAACATGCAGTAAAGTTTTGCATCCCATATTGGTTGATTTAATTTAGTTAACAATTATTTCACTGACAAAATTGGCAGCAAATTCGATGTTTTTTTCCTTTACTCGAATTCTCTCCACGTACTTTATATAGACTTGGGTATCATCATAGATTGACTAGATAATTTCACTTTCAAATGAGACCCAGAAAATTGTGGGTGTGGACTGTATAACTTGACCAATCAGATTGTGGAGAAATACATTCAAGTATCTTGTACCGGATGAAATTGCCAGCTAGTGTACACATTCATGTACATACAACATGAGGGTAACATGATTTTAGAATTTTTTGAACTATTTTCGTCCTCTAGGAATCACGTGTTTGTTTAGTAATAATTTCGTCAGCGTTATATACATATTAAGAACCAAATAGGAACGAAGAATATTCGTTTCAATGGCTTCTCATCAGGTTCTGAAGTTATTAAATCAATTTCGTTAACATATTTAATCACCAAAATTTTGCGGTTAATATATTTTAGAATGGGTATAATTAAAGTTGGATCCTTTAAGTTTGTTGATGGTAGTAAATTGTGGTAATAACTTGAGTGTAAACTTTGTCATTGGTCAGACGTATGGGGGAGGCAAATTAATAACAAAGTTCAAGGTTACATTTTGTCAAGTGACTAGTACAAAGAATGACATGAATTTACTCAAGGGTAGAAATGGAGTGGATACATCATCATAAGATGGTTAATATGTGGAACAACTAAGATGATAAGAATCGTAATAATTGATCTTGAGTGATGATTGAAGGTGAGATGAAAATTTGAACCGCTGTCGGATTCGAACCAGCGACCACCGGGTTCCTGGCCCGATGCCCTGACAACTGGGCTACAAGGTAAAGCATCGGGCCGGAAACCCAGTGGTCACTAGTTCAAATCCGACAACGGTTCAAATTTTCATCTCATCTTCAATCATCACCCTGTATAAATACTAGTCTGCCAAACTACGGCTATCTCAGATAGTCAAATTATGATAGTAATAATGTGAAGAAAAATGTTAACAGGAATTTTAAAGGCTTACTATTATAAGACAGGAGGAAATAACAGCAATAATAACTGTTTTGTTCCAGAAAGAAAGAAGAAAGTGGGAACGAAAGTAGAAACGAAAAACAAAGATTAAGTGAGAAACAAAAAGGTTGACGGAATATTGTTTAGGGTCAAGTGAGTAGTAGGGCTTGGACGTTTTCTTTCTTAGTACAAAGCTCATACTTAGTTTGTCTTATAGCTACAGCTTCCGAGACATGGAGAATGCGTAAATGAACGGTAGATGGTGCACCCTATTTAACTTGTTCCACAGGAACAGCTGAATTCATATATGAATGATGATTAGCTAAAATCAGATAAGGCGTCCTTAAGTCTCCGGTTGAACAACCTTTGGCTATTAAAGGTTAGGCATAGACGTCCTGAGTAAAACGTTCTACTTATTGTTCTGGATAGACGTGACAAAACTTTACTCGGGGTATCTCCTTTCAATTGCAGACGCAGAAACAAAAGTTTTTTTTGCACGCTTGTCAATTCCTGTTTTTGAGTATAATGAGCGATGTTTGCTTTTATGAACTTTTCAGGATATCCGTTTTCCCTTGCAACTCCTTCTCGATACACTTCTCGGAGCGGATCGATCTTACTCTATACGCTAAACATATAATAACATTTCGTTTGCACTTCATTGTTACAAAGCTGAGGAAGTGTTCATGTTGTGCTTTGGTCTTCTTTTCTTATCAGAAGGACATCAAGGAAATGAATAGAATTATTACTTTCGTAAAATGAACTGCTGGGCGAGCGTTAATGAATTGGTTGAGGATTGAATGAATAGGACTGTGTTTACTATGGACTGGAAATGTATCATCCATATACCGACAATACATACCTATATCAGTGGTCCGTTTTCTAATCTGCATAAAATATATCAGCTAACATAGGGAGTAGAGGGGATCCCACAGTTACACTATCTATTTGTTTGTACATTTCACTGTTGAAAATCAATTGAACGTTCGTTGTGCATGTGACCAGCGACTCCCTTGAATTCTCGATAGGGATGCCTGTGTTTATTTAATTTTTTGCCAGCAGTTCTCAGATATAGTTCACATTTTCAGTGAGAGGAACATTATATATATAATCATTTAGCCGGGATAATATAAGTTTCTCTCTAATGCCGCTTGTAGTCAGCACGACTGGTCCTTGCATTATAGCTGGTAGGAGTATTTCAGCTTGCATAGTTAAGGGTTTTTTAATTCACTGAAATTAAATATACGGATTTTAAAATATGTATAGTGGTGGAGAAAAACATTGAAAGAGATCCTTAGTCGTGAATGGATTCGAACTAATGGTCAACTGGTCACTAAACAGAATAACAGGCCCTAACATCAACCAAGTTTCAATTCCTCCATCTCATTCGTCAAGTGTTCGACGCGTCTTTCATCATAAACAACCGGCCCATAGAAGTAGAAGATGATGAATTGGTGAGTGGATAGTATGAGTTAACTTTCATTGACAAAATGCTCTCTGTTCCTTTATAAGACATTGTGTTGCACTGTCACTTGCATATCTGTGCTTTCTGAAGATAACCCTTCACAATCTCAATTTGATGTCAGATAACATTTATTAAGAGGTTTATGGGGATTCTATTGACTCCAAATAGATATTCATAACGGGCTGACATCACTTGGACAACCACTGAAAACCTAACTACATTGGACAGCTTTTTCGCATTAGTATGTAACATCTTAGCAATGCGCACCCATAACCTTGCCACGGACCGAAATGTGAACTACTGAACTCCCACCTGGTGGCTGAATGGCTAACGTGTTAGCCACGAGACCTGAATTTCCAAGGTTTTATCCGCAGTGGGGTTGTTGGTGTGTACTGCTGAGGAGTCGCATACTAGGAAGAAACAGATGTTCAGTGCTCCCAGGTTTTCAATGGTTCTCCAAATGATGTTGGTCTGGGATGAATACCAGCTTGAGATAATAACTGTGGCCGATTTATTCTTTGCAGTGTTAAGCTGGCATTTTTGAATTTTTCCAATTTGATGAACATGTTTGAACTTTCTGTGTATATGTACCTTTAATTTACTAAACCACTTTCTTTCTGTTCATCAAGTTTGTAAAGCTAGAGGTGGTAAGTAAGGCAACGATTTTTGAAGTAAACAAATATTGGTCATTTTAATATCTACAAACCAATGAGTGATAATGTTTTCTCGGTTTTGAGGTGGCTTTTGTCTTCTAATGACATATTATACTGCAAACAAGTAAATGAAGCTGTTAAAGCTTGAAGATTCAGGTCACATACATTCTGAAAAGACTATTTTGTTTTTCCTAATGCTCAGAATGCTTTTTCCAGTTCTAGAAATTTTAAGGTGACGTAGGCCTGCTTCAACTTTCCGCTAACAATGAAATTTTCCACCACACGTATTATACCGAATTCCTCTTGTTCAGTTTGTTTTAACCTCTCAAATATGTCCCCCAAACGTATTACGTACTGTTGTAGATTTTTAAAATGTTTTAAACTAGTCGTTTTTTGAGGTAACAAAAAAACGAAGGGAAAATATCATATTAGACGAAAAGTGACTTTTGAATGTAAAAAACACATCATATCTCTATTCTTTGAATATCTATCTTGAATAGTACATCCTTCTACTGGTTGAATGAATTACCATCAATGGACATCGGTCGCTAGTCCAACATCAACCGGCTGCTTTACATTATTACCTTTGTTGCTGCTATTATGAACACCGTTCAGCAGTCATAATCATTTTGTTTGAAAATATTGTTTCGGGAATAAGTCTGTTAATTTATTGCATGCTGAAAACTTTTTATTATTATTATTATTAGTCCCTTGGGTTCCTAGTGGAACATAGGGCTTCAGTAGCACGCCTCCAGTGACCTCTGTTCTCTGAGATCTTTTGAACCTGGTCCCACGACAGCCCACAAGCTCTCATTTCCTCCTCGCACGACCTCCTCCATGTCACCCTTGGACGTCCAACTCGTCGCTTCCCATGGGGATTCCACTCGAGGGCCTGACGCGTGATGTCCTCAGTCGGCCTTCTCAGTGCATGGCCAATCCATCTCCACTTCTTCCTGCATATTTGTTGCGTGATAGGTTCTTGGTTGGTTCGTTCCCAGAGTTCCTTGTTGCTTATTTTTTCTGGCCATCTGATCTTCAGCAGCGAGCGTAAGCAGTTGTTGATGAATGTCTGTAGTTTATTGGAAATACCTTTCGTGACGCGCCAAGTCTCTGAGCCATACAAGAGCACTGACTTGACGTTGGTGTTGAAAATCCGTATCTTGTTCCGCATGCTGAGTGCAGAAGATCTCCACACTGGTTTCAGGCTAATGAATGCCTGTCTTGCTTTTCCGATTCTGACTTTGACGTCCTCGTCCGTCCCGCCTGTGCTTCCTAGATAAGTGAAGGAGGTTACTTCCTTTAAGTTTCTCCCGTTGACAGTGATTGGAGTTTGTTGTTGTTGTTGTTGATGGTGGTGGTGCGGTATCTTCATCACTTCTGTCTTCTCTATATTCACCTGAAGTCCCGTCTTCGCTGCCTCTTCTATCAACTTGTTAGTTTTTGCCTGCAGATCTTCAAGTTTATGTGACATTAGGCATAAGTCATCGGCGAAATCCAAGTCTTCTAGGTTCTTTTCCGTCGTCCAGTGTATCCCCCTCTTCTCGCTGCCTACTGTTTGCTGCATGATCCAGTCCACCACAATAAGGAATATCATGGGGGATAGTAGGCAACCTTGTTTCACTCCTGTCTTCACTTCAAAGGCATCACTGAGCTTCCCATTGTGGATTACTTGGCATGTGGCATCTTCATATAGTTGTTGAATGAGGCGGATAAAGGTTTGCGGTACTCCGTAGTATTGAAGCAGTTTCCAAATTACTTCTCGGTCGACGCTGTCAAAGGCCTTCTCAAAGTCGATGAAGTTGAGGTGGAGAGGTGATTGCCATTCTATGCTCTGTTCTATGATGATACGAAGCGTTGCAATTTGGTCTGCACATGATTTGTACTTCCTGAAGCCTGCCTGTTCCGGTCGTAGTTTTGAATCCAGTGCATCCCTTAGCCTCTCCAGGATGATGCGGCTTAATATTTTACTTGGGGTGGACAGGAGAGTGATTCCGCGCCAGTTCTTGCAAGCACTGAGGTCTCCCTTCTTCGGCAGTTTGACAAGGTAACCCTTCTTCCAATCGTCAGGTACCTTCTCTTCCTTCCACACCTTCTGCAATAGTGGTGTGAGCATGTCCGCTGTTGTCTCTGCATCTGTTTTCAGTGCTTCT